GAAAAACATAAAACTGCTTTATCTGGTCTCCTCTGAGATCTTCCCAGGCCCAGCCTTTTAGGTGCTCCTTTGAGGAAGATTCTGGCTGAGAAGCTGCTGGAGTTCTGGTAATTTAGTGTGGCCATTTGCCAGGAAGAGAATCTGGGCAATAATCATGAGATGTGTTCAGGCACCAGGGCTGACAGGAAGGTCTGTACCCACTGCCTGAACTAGCCCTCACCCACCAGTTTAACCAGCACAGTGCCTCAGCCAACACTGGACTTTAAAGACAGATATTTTAAGAATATGCACTTCTACTTACTTATGCTGGGCGTTGTGGCTCATACCTGGAAACCCAAAATTTGGGTAGCTGAGGCAGGAGGATTGCCATGAGTTCAAGGCCAGCCTGGGCAACATGGTATAATTTTGGGGTAGGCTCCTGGGATACAGTGTAAGCATATTTTATGTCACAACATCAAATAACCGAAATGAACAGGGTGTGGTGGCATCCCTCTGTGATATCAGCATTTGGGTCAGGAATTCAACATCAGCCTCAACTAAGCAGCAAGATGAAGGCCATCCTGGGCTACTTGAGACACTGTCTCAAGAGCCAAAACCAAACAGTTCAACAGAGTTAGATTGTAAAATTCCTGCCTGAGACCATGAGGCTATAAAGCATTTGACTCATTCATTATGGTCCAGAGAGAACTCATAACCAAAGGCAACAATGGCAGCACTCTCCTGAAAAAATGTTGTCTTTTGAAGCGGCCGAGAAAGCAAGGCATGGGGAAGCTAAGCGCAGTGGCTGCACAGCACACTGGAAAGAGTGCCACCCACCCACCCGGAGAAGCGGATGCACTCAGGGACAACCTTGGCAGCAGGCTGCTCCACGTCTCTTTGTTTTGAGGTGCATTTGATCCAGAGGGGGTCCCCACTTATAGCACAGAAACTTCTCCGCCTGTAGTTTCTCTTCTATGACTGCCCTGGGATATTTCTTTTACTGTTATTATTACATTTCTTCTCTCTCTCTCTCTCTCTCTCTCTCTCTCTCTCTCTCTCTCTCTCTGTGTGTGTGTGTATGTGTGTGCCTGTGTGGGTGCATTCTTGCTATGGCATTTGTCGTGGCAGTCAGAGGACAAGCTGTGGAATTGGTTTTCTCCTTCTACCTTGTGGGTCCCAGGGATTGAACTCAGGTTGTCAGGCTTGGTGGCAAGCACCTTTACACCCTGAGCCATCTTGCCCCCTCTGCGACATTCCAATGCTCAGTCCTCAAAGGATTTCTGTCTCGCAGTTGTGATTGCCCTCTGAGCTTATGACCCTTCTTGGCAGGATCTCAATTCCCCTTTATTTTATCCCTCTCCCACACTCATTTCCTTTGCTCTATTTACACTGGGACCCAGGAGCCCTCATTTCAAGTACTCTCTTGTCAATATTCACTTTCAAATCTGTTGGCCACAGCTAAAGTAAGAAATACAATTTGCACATAATCTAGAACTCATTTGATATATATTGGTATATACAAATGCATGCGTGCATAGGCTTCTCCTGACTTTAGTCCAAGCACAGTTATTTTTTAAATCTTTCCTTAAGAACAGTTCTTGAATTAAGAATTCGGTGTCTCTCATGGGCACCAGGTCATTCCATCAGTCACTTGCAGAAACCAAATTGCTGCAAACTTAGTGTCTCAAAACAGCACAGACAGCCTGCAAGGATACCTCAGTCAGTGTGGTAGTTTGAAGGTAATCAGCCCCATAAGCACAATGGGGGTGATGTTATCAGAAGGTGTGATTTTGTTGGAGTAGGCGTGGTCTTGTTGGAAGAAGTAAAATTCCTCCACTGTGAAAAGTTTGAGGTCTCATATATGTTCAAGTCACTCCCAGTGAGACATGTCACTTCCTGCTGCCTTCAAGGCAAGATACAGGACTCTCAGCTCCTTCTCCAGCACCATGTCTGCCTGCAGGCCACTGTGTCACACCATGGTGACAATGGACTAAACCTCTGAAACTATAAGTTATCAGATTAAATTCTTTCCCTTGGTCATGGTGTCTCTCCATAGCAATAGAACCCTAACTAAGACAGCCAGTAAAGTGCATACTTGATTCTCAGAACCCATATGAAAAAATGCTGAGCAGGCATGGTAGAGCCCCTTGTAATTCCAGCGATGGAGAGGTGGAGGCAGGCAGATCAGCTGGCCATCTAGCTAGCTTGGAAAGTTCTGGAACAATGAGGGACCTTTTCTCAGTGACAAAGGTGGACAATATCCAAAAGGAGGCATTAGAGATTGCTTTCTGGCCCCCATGTATATGTGAGCACATATGCATGCACTCACACATGTGCATGTGCACACGTATGCACACACAGAGAACAGATGCACACAGTATTCTGTGACAGTCTGTACAGCAGGCAGTTTGTACTTGAGTTTTTCCTCATTGCTGTGGCCAATGACCTGAGCAGAAACAACTCAAGGAAGAAGCGTTTATCTGGGCTCATGGTTTGAAGGTAGAGTTTGTCATGGCCACAGGAGGATGACAGAGAAGTTCACACTGTATCCAGGGTGGCAGAGATGTTCACATTGTATCCAGGGTGGCAGAGATGTTCACATTGTATCCAGGGTGGCAGAGATGTTCACATTGTATCCTATCAGGAGGCAAAGAGATGCATTAGGGGCTCATCTGTATTTCTCCTTTTTTCCCAAACTAAACTTCTAAACTTGCCTTTCTTTCTTTTCTTTTCTTTCTTTCTTTTTCTTTCTTTCTTTCTTTCTTTCTTTCTTTCTTTCTTTCTTTCTCTCTCTCTCTCTCTCTCTCTCTCTCTCTCTCTCTCTCTCTCTCTCTCTCTTTCTCCCTTCCTTCCTTTCTTTCTTCTTTTGTGAATGTATGTGCATGTGTGTGTTGGTGCATGAACCTGTGTGTGTGCACGGAGCCCAGAAAAGGGCATCAGGTCTCCCCTCTATCACTCTCTGTTTATTTCTCTGAGGTGGGGGGGCACAGGGCTTACATTTCTCAGCTACGCTGGAGGTCAGCAAGCCCCAGTGACCCTGTCTCTGTCCTACTTGAAGCTGGGGTTACAAGCACGCCCTGAACGCCTGGCTTATTATTTGGGTGCTGGAATCTGTACTCTGATTCACATGATGGCATAGCCAGTGCTCTTAATCACTGAGTCACCTCTCCAGCGCCCCCCTTTTCACTCCTTATTCAGTCTGCAGACCCCATTTGCATTTAGGGTGGGCCATCCCTCCCTCAGTTAAACCTTTCTGGAAACCTCACAGACATGCCTACAGGTGATCTCAAATACCATCAAGATTAACTATTACAGAGGACTTCCGTCCAGGAATCCAGGACCCAGTGCTCTCCTGTCTCATGACCCCACCATCTCCAGAACCCTGTCCTGTCCTTTATCTACTAGAGCAGCAAGCCATCTTTCGAATAAACAGCGAACTTTAAGCCAAAGTCATCCTCTGAGAATTACTTTGAAGTTGCAGTCAGCTGGTCACTCAGCAGGGTTCTGGGAATTGGGGGTTGATGGGCAGGAAGTTTTAAGGAGATGTCCAAAGGGATCTAAACAGTGGGGTCCCTGCGCATTTCAGGGTAGATGCTGGCCCTCCCAAGTATCCACCCTGCTTTTTTCTTCAGGCAGAGTGTGCCCCACAGGGTGTTGAGATGCCATAAAGAAATTCGGAACCACTAGTACCGGTCACTTTGTCAGAGGCAGGCTCCCAGTATGCCTCTCCAGGAGCCTATGCAGTTAGGCTGGAGACAGATGAGCGAGAAGCAAATTCACACTGGTGCCTGATTTCCTTTTGCTGTCCATATTAGACTTTGTTTCTCTGAGCAAGGTGGACTTCCAAAGGAGGAGGAGGAAGAGAAGGAGAAGGAGAAAAGAGAGGAGGGAGGCAGACAGACAGACTGGCAGAGAGGAGAGAAAGGGCGGGGCAGGGTGGGCATTTGCAGCCTTCCTCAGAACACTTGTGTATGAATGAAACGACTGTAGGCCAGTCTGCCTCGCCTCTTTGCCTGTGAGCTTCCAGGAAGCCCAGGTACCTTCAGTCAGGAATTATACTTCTGAGAGATTCTGAAACCTGAATGGGACTCACAAGGCGTGGGTTACCTGTGCGTGAATCAGACGGTTCTAGAGCTGCCCTCCCTCCCCTAATGCCTCCCTATGAGAGTCTGCCCAGCACATCCCACACACACCTCAGCAGAAAGTCCCTGGCTCTGCTCCCGGCAGCCTTGCTGTTGACCTTATGAGGTGTGAGAAGGAGGAAGAGAAATCTAAGTTCCGGCCAGAACTCACTTCCTCATTTCTGAGAATCAGCCCTTGCTCCAGACGTGACAGGTTATAGGTCCTCAGAGCTTCACAGAGTCCAGGCCCAGCCTGGCTCCTTTGACTGCTTGAGACATCACCAGGGAGACAGGGATGCAGAGCCTATTTTTGGTCCTGTGATTGCTGGAACAATTTCCAAAATGGCTGGCTGTGTACATCAGAATCCCTGCTTCTGCAGTCCCAGAGGTCTGAGATCGAGGCATCAGCAGAGCCGCACACCCTCTAAAGCCCCACTCCCTGCACCCCTAGTTTCTGCTGGTGGTCTGCCATCCTTGGCGCCCCTGTCACTCCAGTCACAGCCTTCTGCCTTTTTTTTTCCTGATGGGGACACTAATCAGATGGCATCAAGGGTTCTCCTGAGCTCAGTGTGCCTTCCTTCCAGCTAATTATGCCTGCTCTCCTGTCTGCAAATGAAGTAACAGGAGTCTGGAGATACACTATTCGGTTCACAGCAAAGGTCCACTGTATTTCCCCCGCTTAACCTCCTCCCCCAACTTCTTCCCGGCAAGTCTTACGCTATGGAGGCAGCCCTCCCCAGCTTTCCTCTCCGGGGCGAGGCAGGCCCAGGAGTGGTTTCCTGAAGTTGAATGGCACCCCTTACTCCAGGAAGGCCTGGAGATCAGAAAAGTCAATTCTTCCTCAGAACGGGTGTCCACATGCCCAGGGACACCCACACAGCATAGTTTCCTGCTTTACAGAAGCTCTTCCAGATTCCATGGGCTCACGGCCAATCCCTGAGTGTGCTGCCTGGAGGGATGGAGCCCTCCAAGCCTCGTACCAAGCCATCACAGACCAAGGTACCCGGTTAACACAGGAAAGTCCCATCTGGCCCCACAGACCCCTGTGACCTCATTGGTCACCTGCCTCAGGTCTGCTGCAGAAGCCGCCCCCCACCCCACACACACACCAGAGCTGCCCCTGCCTCAGGGACATTAGCTTCTCCTTGTCCTGAAATCTGTGCAGGAATTGGGAGGGGGGCTTCCTGGGGCTCCTGTAACCCAGCTGAATATTTTCCAGGTTACTTAACCAAACTCCTGCAAAACCACACCGCCTATGCCTGTGATGGGGACTATTTGAACCTACAGTGCCCTCGGCATTCGACAATAAGTGTCCAATCGGCATTTTATGGGCAAGATTACCAAATGTGTAGTTCCCAGGAGCCCATCTCCCAGAGGGAAGACAACCTGACCTGTGTGGCATCCACCACTTTGCAGGTACTGCTTTTCGTGGATGTCTTAAAATCATGAAATAGTTTTTTCCTCTTTCCTCTCTATCTTTCCCTCTCTCTCTCTATTTCTATGTTCATATACGTGTGATTCTACGGTTCTTTCAAAGCAAAAATTGGTGAAAACCCCAATTACTATAGATCACTAATGTCTTTGCCGTACAGTACAAACGGAACCCAATGTGATGACATGGTCCCTTAGCATTATTTCCATGGGAAGTTAGTCACAGGCACGGTCTTTACTGTAATAAAGCGAAGCAGCCATATTGGATCCAACCTTCAGGTCCACATCACTGATAAGCACCCGGGTGGGAACTCAAGTGGCTCTGATGCTGGCCTTGGTGGTCACGATGAACTTCTTAGAGAAAGGCCCAAGAGACATAGCAACACTTGTCTTCCGTTTCTCATGGCTTGCCTCTCTACCTGTATCATGTTATTCTCATATAGAGCTATTTTGAGAGGTCTTGGTCGAATTTTTTTTCTTTTGAATAGTACAACTTCTTCTTCCACCTCCTCCTTCTCTTTGTCTTTTTTCTCTTCTACTTCTCCTCCTCTTCTTTCTCTTCCTCTCCCCTCCTCTTTTCTTCTCCCTCTCCTCCGCCTCTTCCTTCTTCTCTTCCTCCTTGGGCATACTTGGGGAAATTGGTACATATAGAGATCAAATCATTCACTGGTGGTTTTAGACTGTGGCTGTCAGTTATGCATGCAACTTTTCCATTCCTGGGGATTGACTGAGCCCAGGACCCCCTGCGTGCAGGGCCAGCACCATACCCCTAGGCAAGCTATAGTCTCCGCCCTTTTTCATTATTCATTTTTGAGACGGTGTGTCACTAAGTTACCCAGGCTAGCTTTGAACTTGCTCTGTTGCCCAGGTAGCCATGAACCTTCCATTCTGCTGTCTGCGTGCAGCAGCTGGGATTACAGGGCTGTGCCACTCTGGTCAGCTTTATCCAAGCAGTTTATAATCTGTCCTCTCAGCTACCTGGCCAAGATCATAAAATGGCCAGCCCGAGCTTTAGTGTGGTGGTGGTGTTTAATGTCTCTCAAGTTCTCTACAGCAAGTGGCGAGGTGGAGGTCAGCTTCATCATGGTCGGCACAGAATAGGTAGAGGAAGGTAAATTTATCTGAAGGTCTAAGGAGAAGCGAACATATTAGATGATGCAAAGGTTTTTCTTTTCTTCATACTGCTTTGCTTCCGGTCCCAAAGCTGCAGCATCTGGGCAGTCAGTAGCTAGTAAATAGCACAGCAGACCGTATCTGGCTGGGTCCCCTTGACATGGCTTCCACACTATGATGAGCGACAACGTGTTTCTTTGGAGGTCAAGCATAGTGTCTTTGGGTGTCCCGTCCTGCCTCAGTTTCTCCCTTTGGGACCTCACCTCTAAGAGCCATACTACTGCTGGCCCTGACCCTTCCTCACTCAACCCAGGTGCCCAGGCTCTCTGCTACCCCTCAAGGTGCTTGTACCCAATAGGACGGGAGTATCTACCTAATGGGAGGACAACCGGCTGACACTACAGCCTGCCGTCTCCAGCCTGGTGCCCCGAGGGAAGAGGAAGTTCCACTTAGGCTGCTGTGTCAGCATCTTTGGGCAGTTCTGCGGCTGCTCAGACGGTCAGCAGGCCAGGACATCCCTACTCATGCCCCCTTCATCCAGGAGTTCCTTTCCCCTGGGACTTCACACCACATCGGCAGCTGAGTCAGCCCATGTCCTGAGAGGCAGTGAGGTTTAAGTAGGAACAGGTTCATAGCTGCCAAGGTAACTACCGGGGTCCTCTCTGCATTTTGTAGTTGGTCACACGATTTGAGCCTGCCCTGAGGTCACAATGGAGAGGACTCATAGTAACTGCCAGAGGCTGTGTGGTTTACCAAGACCATTAGCCATGCCAGTGTGTGCCATCATCTGAGAGCTGGGCTTCCTAGGGATATAAAGGGTTCCCCGGGGGATGCTTTCTGATTGACAGATCCACATGTCCTTGACCCCTGAGGTGGCAGGGTAGATGACATGGTAACTCTAAAAAACAGTTCAAGTATCTCCACAGTATTCACCCCTAAAGAACAAGGAGATGCTTGGGAACTTTTCTCTTCTGGACTTGGTGTCTCTCTCATCAGAACCAAGGCCAGCACCTGAGTTGATTCTGTGTAGAGCTTTCTCTGCAAGCCATGGGAAAAGTGAGAAGTCATGGATCCTTCCATGATGCAGTATGGGGTGTCCCAAAAGCAGAGAGAGAGAGAGAGAGAGAGAGAGAGAGAGAGAGAGAGAGAGAGAGA